CCATCGCGGTGAAAGACAAGAAACAAGAGTGAATGGGGTAGCGTGACAAAATACGCGCTTCGGGCGAGAATTCCCGAAGATCGTCGATCACTGAGACCCAAAAAGGTAACTCGTGCGCCTAATTGGGTCATCTCGACTCCAAGTCGGCCGAGACGCAAGAACAAGGCTTGTACACGCGCGCTTTGAGTAGCGGTGGTGAATCCCGCGGAGCCCATTTGAATCGCGAACATGCCACCACTTAGACACAAGCAGGGATCGAACGGAGTGCTTAAATCTAATCTAACTTGAAGCTGCAAGATCTAGACCAGCGATATGCACACCTGATTCGGTTGCGCCCTCTGTAGTTCGGGCCCACCGTGACAGTACATATTATTATGGGTGAGACCTTGCATTTCGTGGTCCGGAGCAATTGGAAGGCGCTCACGGCATGCTCGTGTTGAGACAAAACGGTGTCCAAATTTTTCCAACTCCGAGATGCACATCCCGATTCGCAGTTCGATGAGGTTTTGAAGTATAACGGTACCAAATCAATGGGCACACGTTCGGTAGTTTTGAAGCGAGTGGGCCCCAGACTCATTACGGTCCGTGTCAAGCGGCCTGAAATCCCGAAATGAGAGTTGATAAACGGTTCGTGAATATTTTGTTTGGACAGAGAATTGGGATGCATAGATACAATCATCGTTCGTTACGACCAAGACACTCCCAAGTTCCTATGGCTGACGTCCATAGTCTGTACCTGCGTTCAAAACAGAGGTTGAAGAAACTGAACCCAGCTTCTCATTCGACTTGGCTCGTCGACGACGGTCCAGAGGCCCGAGGTCCTGATTGCGCTGAGAAGGTCGGATGTATGATCGCTATAAGAGGACATGGACCTTTTTCGACCTAGAGAGCGCGAGAAGTAAATGCGCCGATAAATATCTCCATAAACGCCCGATGGATCCCATTCGGCGGATAGGAATGGCGAGATATTGAAGAGTGCCGCATCCAGTAAATTTTCCTCCGCGAACGGAACTTGGCCGGTCTTCGCAATGTCGACGAGGAACCGGACGATGTTGCGCGCCATGTCTCGGTGCTCGGACGTAAATAGGATGGGGGTCAGATCAACTGCATGGCCGCTATTGAGGACAAGTTCAGGACGATGGTATACAGTTGGACTGAACATACCCTTCAACATAGCTCTGGGCAATCAAGTGCTGGATCATTTGGCTTAGAGTACCTATCCTTTTGGGATACGACAGGCGGGAAAGATGCTCCACGGTCTCATGGTGCACGTTCCCCCCTAGGCCTACACACCGTAAATAACTGCACATGAATCTTGCTGATAAGACGAGTTTCAAGTCGAACGAGTGATGATGCCTGAAGAGGGCATTAATTGTGGATAAAAGCGGGTGAAAGGCGCAAAATATACAGCTCGCGAGGAAGCGCATGCCTAGAGGTCAGAAACTGGTTACTCGCGAACGCGGATTCCGAGGATCCCAAGTCCAAGTCGTGATAATTTGCCGGATGCATTAGTCTCAGTATCCCCCCGACATGCATCTCCAATAATCGACACTCAACTATCGGCCACAGGAGTTGACCGGTGATCGAGTTCACCGCGTCTGGAACTGAGGCGACTAGCGTGTCAGGGCAGAGCCTCAGAAGTTGTTCGACCCAAATAAGAGATAGATCGAAGGAAGGCGGCTCCGAGAGCAGTTTGAACGCGACACCGCATTCATTTTCAAGCGCCGAGTCAATCTTTCGTTGGTGGATTTGCACCCCAGATACCCAGAGAATCACCTCCAGGAATCTGGCGTCTAATACAGCGTGAAATGTCGCCTCGTTCAGCCCTGCGACGCCCGACATGAATGAGATGTAAGGCGCCCAAGGATGGCAGTCGCTGGGGAGTGCCATCGTATAAGAAGCTGTCAACCTCTTATCCACAAAACTGCGCGGGCTAGTTCAGTACTATACTGTAGGTGGATTCCGTCGATTTGTGGTGCTCACCCGCGCTTGGGAAAAAGTACGACCCCAATCATCTCGGATAAAAGTGCGACCAACTCTCCGTGATCGATCTCCAACTCTGCAATACAGGCCCGTAGATAACGAGTCTGTTTGCTCGCAATCTGAGCAAGCAGTATTTGCATGGCCTGGGTTCGAAACGCTTCGGGATATAACCTCGGTCTGTGCAAGCGTTAGGAGTTGTAAATGGAAGGGATGACGGACACACCTTGAGAGTTCCAGCACATCAAAGAACATTTGCTGGACATTTGGACGCTTCTCATCGTCAGAGCAGGGCATGGCCGCCTTGATACCAGAGAGTCGCCGTGAAATCACGAAATACTCTGCGCCGCGCACGACGGCTTTGCCCATTGCGCGGATTGCCTTGCCTGCGACCGCACCTGGTCCCCATTGAGTGCTCGAGGACGTCGTCGTATAGAGAGAGCTCCCGGACAATGATGTTCGGGAGGCAGCGAAGGTGGTCGGGTCCATGGTGCTCGCACGGAGTTAGCAGGTATTGGGCTGAGCTGAGAGTGTTGCCTTGCCACGGACTGTGAGAAGGAAATCATGATTCACGAGAGCCTGGCCAGATTGGAGGGCAGTTTTAGCCAACTTTGGTCTATCTTTACTCAATCTTCTGCACTTATCGCAGACGGTGATATTTGATTCGATGTCCTCCCTTGAAATTGGCCCAGAACAAAGGATATCAACTTTAAGAATGTTGCGGTATCATAGTCAAGTTTTTCAAACAGATGGGTTATACAGATACTGGGGGGAGGCGGTCATCCGAGTTACAAATGCGAGAGCCTCCAGCGTAATATTTTCTCGGGCAAGCTTCCGTGCCAAGTACCAACCAAGTAGATTTTAGATTTCGTCCAACGACCAATTGGGGATTCTGGGATGTCACGATTTTGGCCAATATTTTGAAGGGTTATATCGCCAGGACGGCCAAAAGACTGGAGGATTTGCGCGTTGGGTACGTTTGAAGGTCCTGGCGAGTCGTGGTGATTTTTGCCGACCCGATACGGAGGTTTGACTTCAAGAGAGGTCACGAGTGACAATCACACCGCAGTCACACTCTGCACTGCACCAAACCACGATGGCCTACGTCGCCGTCGACAACGACGAGGTCGGTGTACCTGCCAGTGTTCTCTATGCAAACTGAATACCTGGCCTCTATAGCGGTTAGAAGAAGGGCCTGAGGGTCTACAGTTTAAATGCAAGTACACGTCAGTAGAAAATGACCGATTTTTTAACCTTCAAAGTTCAGCTTTTCTGGGAGATGCGAATGGGAATCAAGGCGGCGCGCGGTCGCCTGGGCTGGGGAACGCTGATCGAGGTCAGTGTGTTGGACAGAAGCGTGGATTCACGCTGATATTTTTTTCGACGCGCCCAGGGTACTTACAAGACCAAGGAAAGCCAGCGGGAGGTTTCTGGACCGGTAGAGTACTATCAGTCGTACTTCGACGTCGACACCAAGACGGTAGTCTCCCTCTCCTTCACCTGAGACTTGTCCATTAAATTTTCCGCTGCACAGGTGCTGCGCCGCTGCTATTCGACGCTCCTTCCCTCATCGTCCGATTACCTCTCCACGCACCTCAACCCCGCCGACCTCTACGGCCCCTTCTGGACCCTCACCACCCTCATCTTCACCCTCTTCCTCTCCTCCTCCCTCGCCGCATCCATCACCGCCTACCTCTCCGACCCAGGTACCGCCTATGATTACGACTTTGGCTTGCTTTCCGTAGCGGTACCGCTGGTGTACAGTTATGGGCTAGTCTTCCCATCATGCTCTGGGTCGCGCTGCGGTATCTAGGTGTGGGCGAGTGGAGCGTAGTGGAGGCGATTGCAATTTGGGGGTACGGCATGTTTGTCTGGATTCCCGTTTCGGTGCGTCCATCATTCCCTTATCTTCATGAGCTGCAATTCACCCTCATACTCCCCAGATCCTCGCAGTCATCCCCTTCCCCACCGTCCGCTGGTCCCTCGTCGGCATCGCCTTTGGGCTGTCGGGCTACTTCCTCGTGCGCAATGTGTACCCGATCCTTGCCTCCGCGGAGGCAAAGGCCACGCGCCTCATTATCATCGTGATCGCCGCCCTCCACGCCGGCCTCGCCATTACCTTCAAGCTCCTCTTCTTCAGCTACGACATCATTGCACCCGCCGCTCCAGCTCCTCCTGCGCCGAGTGATATGCCGGCGGGAAACGATACAACGCCGGCGGAGGTGCTGAGGCGGATGTTTTTTTCGTAGCCCGTAGTGTGAGGGCTGCGGCGTCCTGGCCTGCGTGGGGCACGACGCTGCGATGGACAGAGTGATTCGGGAGGGGGAAAAAGCTATGTCATGCTGTGCTCTACGATGCACTTGTACTGTACTTAATAGATCGTCGACGCAGAGCGGGTTGTTCTTTTCGGGCTCCTTGAGCCACCGTGTTCCCCCGCGTGTTTCCCTTACTACGAATCGATTTTCGGACAGCTTTATCCGATTTCCTTTTCAGAACTCGTCGTCAAGCAAAAACTGTGGTACTTTCAGTCATCTGATCTGGCGTGCGCCCGCCGCGCCGCGTAAACATGCCCATGGACGATTGCGTTTTTGCCGTCCGGTTGCAACGAAAGCTCACTCTGCATTCCCTACCCTTGCACCGTCTAGACGCGGTAGTGGGGGAAATATGCGGCAGCGGAGCTCCGACCCTGTGTAAACGTCTGCGTACTTTACCGCGAATACCTGCGCTAACAATCTTTCTGTACATCAAAATTGCCTTTTTGGGTTGCGAAGTGGTGAATGGCCCGATTGGGAATCGCTCAATCTCCACACTTTTACGCCGGCATTTCAGGTCCACTATTGTCGCTGGGATCTCCCATTTAATTATACAATTCCAGGTTGCTTGAAAATCTTACGTGGTGCTGTCGCGCGCACGAATCAGCCAAACACCGACAGATTGAATGGTCAAGGAGTCACTCCGACTCACTCGAGCGCTGTTTGGGCGCCTCCAATCGTGTGGAGAGATTCAAGCAAAAAGGAGGTCTGCCTTGGCGGGAGTCGAACTCGCATTCCCCAGCTTTCAGATTCCACAGAAGCCGGCTGGTGTCGTACCACTAGACCACAAGGCTGACAAGAAAAGTGGTAGTGACATTCAATGGCGACAAACAACCAGTGCTGGGAGCTCTCGACACATTTATCTTTGCACGCCTCTATGTTATGTGCAGCCCGACAGAGCCTGACATTTATCGTGGCAATGTCATTGTTGGTCTCCCCAGAACCCTTTGTACTCGACGTCGCCAGCGTGCTAGCATCTCCCTCCGGGTGTGCCTCTACATACTCCTGGGCAGCCCTGGTAGGGTCTACTTCATTTCCGGGGGATATCTAGACCGCAAAAGTTGAGCCTTCGAGGCAACTACAGTATTACGGTGTCTATATACAATTCAACTTCTACGGTTGGTCGGCATCTACTTGGCTCATGAAATCACAACGATATAATGCGAGCGCCAAACTCCGCAATAGGATGCGCGAACTGCGGGCCCGGACAGCTCATGAACATGAGTGACGGAGGGATCTGGAGGCGGTGTGCAAGTGATGCGACGTTCGCTGGCGAGAACATCCCTTGAACGATAATCTTCCAAACACGAAGTCAGTTTGCAGTTTCGCTTTAATAAAGGAGATATGACATACCAAGTCGATGGTGGTCTCGGGAAACGCCTCGTCCAGAACTTAATGTGACCGTCCAACTCAGCACTCGTTAGGGTAACAATAATTCGGCGATGGACTCACTCTTCGCATTCGCCTCCAGCTCCGACGGAACCCCGTTCTCCTCGTCGCTGAAGTGCACAATCTTCACGCAGGACGTCTCCTCGTTCTCCCGTACATACAGGAGCATATGCAGCAGGTGGTTGATCTGCAACGGGCGTTTGAACAAGACGGGACAGGAATGGCTGACTTACCTCGTCTGTCTTGACAAGAACGCACACAGGCTGCCGCTTCAGGCGCCCCATGTAGCGCACGAGCGCTTCCCCCCATGTCTTGCTCGCGGCCCAGCGATGCAGCACCGGGTATTGGTCATACGTCCAATACACCGCGCGGAGTAGGTGCACTTGATTCTGCGTCGCCCCGAAGACGGTTAGAACGCCGATGAGGTAGGCAGCGAAGTATCTGGAAGGAGAATATAACTTCCGAGCCCTGATGAAAATCGGGTAAAAGCGAACCCGGCGGTGGAGGGGTCAATGACGACGGTCCCGGCAAAGACTACGGGTGTCAACATAAGGGTGAAAGCGATGATTGACAATAGGGGTCCTGCGCTGGCGCGGCAGGCGTCCGCGATTGAAGCGCAGTAAGAGCAGTGCGAGAGGAAACAGCCCCATCACCGTTAACCACACGAGCGAAAACCTGGCCGTGCATGAGCGAAAAGGAACACAATGTAATACAGACATCCATACATTTCCGAGACAATGGCGAGCTTGGCGCCAGAACTGGAGTAGAGGGCGACGTTGATGGCGGTGATTACGACGACCGATATGTAGGGGGCGCCGCTGAGTGGAGGAAGATCTTGAGGAATATTTGTGGGACGATACGGTCGTGTGCGAGCTGCTCAAACAGCTCGCATGCACTTAGGATACCTGAGGGAGATAAAACTTCGAAAAGAGCCGGACGGAGTTGTTCATATCCGTACCTGTCAAGACTCCACCACATAGAACCACGGCCGCGTCAACCACAATCCACGTTCTTAACCACCGTCCGGCGGCCTGTGTGTCCCAAGTCAGTGCAAGTTCAATGTTGAAAGAATGGGACACACGTACCATTTCTGCGAGCAGGCTGAGAAGGTTTGCGCCCTGGAGGACCTGTTCGAGTGGGACTGTTGCGAGCACAAGGGTAATCATAAGAGTGTTCAGCACTATTGCTGGCAGATGTATATTCCGCAAGACAAACGGAAACCGCCCAGGCTTCATGCGGCCGATGTAAGCTGGTGTGCCTGAATTGGGGAGTCAGATCATGAACGGCACGAGTCGAATAAATAGTGAACACACATTCTATTCCAGTCAATCCCAGCATCCCAAGGCAAAAACCATTGAATAGTTGACGCGCAATGGCAGGCGCGCGAAGGAGCCTGGCCATCTGCCCAGTTGCGTTGTAACTGTGCGTTCCCACTCCGTGCCCAATGCACGATCGAAGCGATAGTGAGGGCCGTCATTGTCGCAACATGGAACGCGAGGACCACGAGCGCGATGCGTGCGCTCTCCTTGAGACCCGTCAAGCTGATGAGCGCGAAGATCAGCAGAACGAGTCCCGCGCCGACAAAGGCATGGGAAAGGCAGCACCACTTCCCCCCCGAGGTACGACGATGCGGTCGGCAGCCGATATCCACGGAAGTGCTGGCGAAGTCCAGAAGCAGTAGCGCAGCGCCAAGCACAGCCAGTGCCTTCCGTGATACGTTCAGTCTACCGACGCCGATCGGTCAATATACCAAACGTCAGTAGGTATTGAGCGCGCACATGTAAGAGTAGGGCGCCCCGCTAATGGGCAGCGCCTGAAGCTAATTCTTCCATGATTGGCCGCCACAGGAAGAGCGTAAGAGTTGCCATGAAAAGTGAAATTCGGTGAACTGGGTCGACCGACGTTAGAAGCATTCAAAGGGAAAAGGAGAGTAGCAACACGTACTACACTCCGCAGACCGCGACGACGGCGGGTAGCGTGTAAAACACGCCTCCCAGGACCGCAGTGCCTGGTAGAGCCGTGCCCGTGAACTGCCCGAGCAGCTGAGCGCGTCGAATGCGATGTAGTCGCTCCTCCCCAACGGTGTGGTCTTCAGTCGTAAGTTTGAGCTTCGAGAAAGAGCCCCACCCGGCAAACTCAAAAGTCGCTCGAGAGGTTCAGAAAGCGCGAGGATGTCGCGAGCGTGTCTTTCAGGCCGCCACCGTCGCGAGGGCGCGTCCGCTGTCTGCGCAGGATTATATCGAACTGCGACTCGCGGAACGTGGGGGGATCGGCTGACTGAGCCGACGCTGAATAGGGACAAGAAAAAAACGCATCAGGCGCGTCTACTGCGCGGTTGATGAAGCCACTCACCAACGTTGGCGCTGCGCGCGATGGGCTCAATGGCGATCCAGGGCCCCTGTGCGCCATCGTCCATGTCGTCGGGGGGATAAGAGGGCAAGGCGGACTCGGATGGCCATACTGAAGTCATTCGAGGACCGAGTTATGTGGGGGGAAGATTGCCTGGTGAGATTCAAATCAGAATCAAATGTGACGAGGTTCAACTGCAGAGTTGCCGTTGGGGGCGGACCGGATCCTACGCGTTCACCGCGGATCAATCGATCAAGGGCCATCAGTATCATCGCAATTTACTTGTGCACTTGCGGTTGACTTGCGGCCTTTTGGAACTTGTGATCAAAAAAATAACAAAATATTTTTTATTTTCCAAACTTGTGGGAAATTCGACATGGCTTGTGGGCTTGTGGGCTTGTCAGCTTGGCCACTTTTCTCGCTTGTAACTTACGAGCACGTACAAGCGATCACAAGTGATCTGTCAAAGTCGCGATGGCTGCACCGACCTTTAATTGTAGAAACCGCCCGCAGGCCTCTGTGTCGCGTTAAAGGACAAAGAGAAAAGGAGAGATTCCCGTTCACAGCAACCCCACTTTAGCATGGCGATCGGCAAACAATCCACCGGCTACATAAGTCCCAGGAAATTAGGTTGCAAAAAAATATTGCAACCTCAGCTCGAGGCCGGAGGCATAAGGCTTTAAGCTGCCTCAAGGCATCTAACGAACCACGCCTTGATTTTGCCGTTCGAAAACTTGCTGCTTAAAAGCTCAGTAGTTATGCAGTAGTAGGGGTTGTTCACAATAGCCTTTTTCCCGTCCTTTTCCGCTCCCTTTTTTTCTCCCTTTTTTTTTGCATTTCTTTTGTTTTCCGCCCGGGGCTTTTTCCCTTTTCAATTCTACAGTATAGACTCGTTACCAGTCTGCGCTACGGCAAAAGAAAGTGATGAGGTTATTTGCCGTAGGCAGACTGGTACAACTCGGGCCACGCCAAAGGGCTGCGCCCGGAGTTTGAATTTTTGGCGGGGGCCGAGGTGCCGATCGGGTGGCTGTGTTAAGCCATCAATTCCCCGCCAAAATTAACTTTTCCACAGCTCAGCCTCTGGGCCCTAAAAAATAATTCTGAAGAGACAGAGCTCAAGTTCAAAGGTGTTAGATTACCGATTTTTGAAAAAGTTTGGAGTGACCCAATAAATTGAGCAAAATCCAGCTTCGGGGAGATTTTTTTCAAACTCCGGGCGCAGCCCTTTGATCAAGCCCGAGTAGTACCAGTCTGCCTACGGCAAACAACCTCACCCTCTATTTTGTCGTAGCGCAGACTGGTTACGAGTCTATCTACAGTATAAAAGGGTCTGAAAGGGAAAAAAAGGGGTACCAAAAATGGGCCGAAAAAAGGCAACTGTGAAAGCCCCGACTGTGCTCCCTTTTTCAGTCCTTTTACTCCCTTTGCTCCTTTCCTTCAAAATACATGGTTTGCATGCTGAGAGTAGTCTTGTTGTTACGGCGGGGGTCGGATCGTGTAGCCGCGTTATTATGTAATCTCACGTAAGCCACTCTCGTCGCGAAAAGAATTGGGTGAAAAAGACGCGACTTTCCATATAATTTGTACATGGATACACTCTCTAAGTTGTGCCTAGCAATCTGGCAGCTTAGAATCCCGCGAAACGACTTGAAACTCAGTTCGTGGAAAGGCCCGGCTAAAGCCGATTGCTCAAGTGATGCATGCCCCAGATATTTAAAACCGGTCTAAAATTCACCAGAAAAATCAGACGGTGAGCTGCAATAGTACTTATGATGATGGCACTGTCACATTAGCTCGCTCGATTTCGTGCAAGACCCAATCTACACACCGATGATTTTCTGCTTACGCGAGATTACATAATAGCGCGGCTACACGATCCGACCCCCGCGGTAGATAACAGACTTCAACAAGCGAGGTACGAGCGTCACCGTTGAAGCGTCTGGCTGCGAGAGACTATGCTGAGAGTGGAGATGAAGGTTATAGACCACAGTGACGGTGAATGTTTCTTAGAAACCATGTAACCCCGTCACAATCAAAGTCTTGTCTGTCCAGCTAG